TGAGGGAAGGAAGTAGTAGTGGGGAGGTAGCAAGAGTAGGAGGAGCCAGTCAAATACTAAGAAAGAGGAGCACTGCAAGGGAGCTGGTGCCCACAGAGGGAACAAATAAATAAAGAAGGAACAAATACGCAGGGCAGAAGAAGATAAGATAAGATAAGATAAGATTTCGTTCGGATTTTTAACCCCGGAGGGTTAGCCACCCAGGATAACCCAAGAAAGTCAGTGCGTCATCGAGGACTGTCTAACTTATTTCCATTGGGGTCCTTAATCTTGTCCCCCAGGATGCGACCCACACCAGTCGACTAACACCCAGGTACCTATTTGCTGCTAGGTGAACAGGACAATAGGTGTAAGGAAACGTGTCGAAATGTTTCCACCCGCCGGGAATCGAACCCGGGCCCTCCGTGTGTGAAGCGGGAGCTTTAGCCACCAGGCCACCAAAGGAGAAAAAGGAAAGGGGAAGGTGGAGAAGAAAAAAAGGAGGAATCAGGTTAGATCACTAGTGTTCTGAAGTTTGGAGCATTTTACAATGTAGTGGGAGAGGAAGGCATCTACAGAGACGAAGCCAGGACTAAGATTCATACAAGGAAAGTTGTGTATTAGTATTTGACTGGCCCCTCCTACTCTTACTACATCCCCACTACTATTTCCTTCCCTCCACTACTACTACTACCTCCTGCCTATATATACCCTCCTGTTCTCCTTTTCGTTAGTGTGACTTTGTACACAATAAATAGTCCAAGTCAGACCGAAACGTCGTAAGCTCCTCTCTTCTATGTGCGGGTTATTTGTGTATCGTTCCAGTCACGGTATTGTGCCTTTTTTTTTGTTATTTCCATTGGGGTCCTTGTAATATCAATCATAGGCCAATATCCAACTTACCCCTTCTCTCTAAAATCTTTGAAAAATTAATTCATAAGCGAATCTATTCCTCTCCCACAACATACTCAACCCCTGTCAGTTTGGGTTCAGGCCTAATAATAATACGAATGATGCTATTATACACATGCTAGAACAAATATACACTACACTTGAGAAAAAAGAAGTCCCAGCAACAGAAGCCAATATGTGTACACAAATGGAGCAAACTCTTCTACACAACCAATTACAGTTGGCGTCCCACAGGGAAGTGTCCTTGGCCCTCTTCTCTTTCTCATTTACATAAACAATCTACCAAATGCATCGCAACTACTCAAACCCACACTATTCGTAGATGACACTACATACGTGTGAAAATTTGTGTGGACTGCCTCCAAGTGAGTCGCCTACCCTGGCAAACTCTGTTGACACCGAGCTCTGAGGTGGGTACCTCAGCCTCACAAGTGGCTTATAGGACAGATTTTCACAAATGATTGATGTTGCAAGAAACTCGCCTGCATGCACGTATAAAGGACTAACTTACTTGGTGTTGCAGCATATATCCTGATCTTCAACTTCCCTAAGCTTAGCCTTAGCCCCTTTGGACTTCCCCTCAGAAACCACGTGCAACCGGGAGCCTGAGTTCCTGCAATATTCAGTCGTTATTAGTGACCTGCCTGCACCTCAGAAATTCCTATATCCAAGAGGGTATGTATCCCCTAGTATAACTATGCAGACACGGACACTAGCTTCCAGACTTGAGAGACACTGGTACTTACTGGGCATGCACTGCCAGCTGCAACACAGGCCCACAGATCAAACTCACTCACAATCTCCCCAGACACTGGCCAGAAATCTACGAGATAAAGTAGAGGTCTTGTCTTACTGTATGGGCCTGACGGAGGTCATCTACGGTACATCGAGGTGCCTCTACCAGATTTCCCTAGGTCTCAAATGTGAAGACACGTGGGGGCGCCGTCAGCTGATCACAGCACGTCTTGTCCAGTTGGTGTCTGTCTTAAGAAGAACGAGCTGGTCTCTCTTCCAGACCCTCGTCTCTTCGTTCAAACTAGGGCTGCCAGTTCTCCCTAGCTAACTTATCCTAGTGTTTGCCTACATTATCGGCCTATTACTACCTATGTTAATGTCTTAGGTCTACATTATTATAATCTACAGTTGCCTTAGTAAACCTAATATTAATATACTAACAGTAAAACTACCTACTCCTTCCCTGAAGGGTAAATCTATAAATTAAATAAGCTTACCAACAATCCACGCCAACTCAAGAGAATGCTTTGTTTTGGGTGGGGTATAAAGGCCACCCAGCTCAGCCGTTCCATTACGGCCATGCTGGATCTGTCCTGTGGAACTTTAGGGACCAAATAAGTTTCCACAATACGTCTTCTCTCATCCAAGCCCAATCATGCTAGCCAATACTGTAAATACTGAATTACAGAAAATATCTACCTGGATGATGATTAACAAACTTACTCTCAATATTGACAAAACCTACTTCATTCAGTTTGGGAACAGAACTACAGATGTTCCTCTTAACATAATGATAAACGGATCACCTATCATAAAGCTCACAGAGAGAAAATTCTTAGGAATCCACCTTGATAATAGACTCAAATTTAAAACATATGTACAATAAATTTCCAAAAAAATCTCCGAGACCGTAGGTATACTATCGAAGATACGGTACTATATTCCACATTCAGCTCTCCTGGCCCTATATCACTCACTCATTTACCCCTATCTCACCTATAGAATCTGTGCATGGGGCTCAACAACAATGAATCATCTCAGACCATTAATTACTCAACAAAAGGCTGCAGTAAGAATGATAAATTCCCACTCCAGGCAACATACTCCATCATTATTCAGAATTCTAAACCTACTCACCATACAAGACATTTATACTTATTATTGTACCTACTACATACATAGAACACTAAACTCGGATATAAACCCTCCCCTCAAACTTCTCCTTACCAACCTCAACAGAACACATGACCATAGCACAAGGCACAGATCACTTTTTGATGTTCCTCGTGTCCATCTCACGAGCCACAGCCGGGCTGTGGCCCGTACGTTGGTTTGCGTGCAGCCAGCAGTAACAGCCTGGCTGATCAGGCTCTGATCCACCAGGAGGCCTGGTCACAAACCGGGCCGCGGGGGCGTTGACCCCCGGGACTCTCTCCAGGTAAACTCCAGGCAAACATAAAAGGCCCAAGAATCTGGAATTCATTACCTGTGAATATAAAAGAAATACTGTTTATCAATTCAACGCTCTTCATAAAAATCACTTACTCACCCACAACTAGATAAATATTGAATAACTGTATCTCATGAATGTATGACCTGTGACCCTATCAAATTATGTTTTTTAATTACATTACCTAATAAAATACTTCATTCTCAAGAAGTCCAGAGGTCATACTGTAGCTTTATACATCATTAGTAAGGCCTCACCTAGATTATGCAGCTCAGTTCTGGTCTCCATATTACAGAATGGACATAAATTCGTTAGAAAACATTCAGCGTAGGATGACTAAATTAATACATAGCATTAGAAATCTTCCTTATGAAGAAAGATTGAAGACTCTTAAGTTACATTCACTTGTTAGACGAAGAATGAGGGGAGACCTGATCGAAGTGTATAAGTGGAAGATAGGTATTAATAAAGGGGATATTAATAAGGTCTTAAGGATGTCTCTCCAAGAGAGAACCCGCAGTAATGGATTTAAATTAGATAAGTTTAGATTTAGAAAGGACATAGGAAAGTATTGGTTTGGAAATAGGATAGTTGATGAGCGGAACAGTCTACCTAGTTGGGTTATTGAGGCTGGGACTTTGGGTAGTTTCAAATTTAGGTTAGATAAGTACATGAGTGGGAGGGGTTGGATTTGAGTGGGACTTTCACATCGGAGCTTGTTTCTTGGGTGGCATTGAAAATTGGGTTGGGCAAATGTTTTGTTAGTGGGATGAATTGTAAGGACCTGCTAGTATGGGCCAACAGGCCTGCTGCAGTGTTCCTCCTTTCTTATGTTCTTATGTTCTTATGAATGTACAGTTACTCATCTAATGACCATATGACTTGTTTCTGCACTCCAAATCATTGATTTTATTCGATTTGATCGAATTAATAAATTATATGACTTCATTTAGTAAATTGATTATTTTGTTATACTAAACATTATTATGCTACAGATTTGTTAGACTATAATGCTTCTTAATTGAAATGTTCAAATTTCATTGTTTAAAATACTCATTTATACTTCATGTTGTAATTTGTCTACTTTTATTTTTACCACTGAATATATCAATGCTTAGTTAAGATAAGATAAGATAAGATAAGATTTCGTTCGGATTTTTAATCCCGGAGGGTTAGCCACCCAGGATACCAAGAAAGTCAGTGCGTCATCGAGGACTGTCTAACTTATTTCCATTGGGGTCCTTAATCTTGTCCCCCAGGATGCGACCCACACCAGTCGACTAACACCCAGGTACCTATTTGCTGCTAGGTGAACAGGACAACAGATGTAAGGAAACGTGTCGAAATGTTTCCACCCGCCGGGAATCGAACCCGGGCCCTCCGTGTGTGAAGCGGGAGCTTTAGCCCAGAATACTCTGTATACAAGGGGCTTTTGGCATGTACACCCACGTAATTCCTTGCACATATAATCCCTTGCACAACTATGTATAATGTTCAAATAAAAATTATTATTATTATTTTTCAATTGACTGGTCCAAGAATTAGAGCTCGTCTCGGGCAACACCAACTGGTAGTCACACTTTGAAATCTTCAGAGGCAAAGATACTGATACTTAAGAGGGAGATATAGAAATGTAGTACGAGGGGCATACACACACTTATACTTAGTTATTATAGATTGGCCAAAATAATCATATATAACTTTTCAAAATACTGAATAACAGGTGATCGTCTTATGTTCTTTTTTTACTTTGGATAATTTAATAACAGCACACAACACATGCAAATTGAACTATATTTTAAAACTGAGTGCCTTAATTAAACAAAAATATAGCTCTAATTAATAGATTTAATCTTAGAAAGAAGGAAAAGATATGTAGAAAGACATTGTGAGTGTAGATGAGTGTATTGAGTGGAGGTAGTGAAGTGCAGACTGTCCAGAGTAAAAGTTAACAATGATGGCGTGTGTTGTGGCGGCGGCGGCCGCATGACCGTCCCTCCCTCACACTCTCTCATAGCTCAGAAATGGCAACTTATGACGACAGACAATGGATTGTCTCTCATATACAGAACTCTTATGTGACCAGCGATGACACAGGTTGGTGAGGCTTGCTGGTGTGGCCCCGTGTGAGTGGTGGTGAGGTGGTTATGCTTGGTGACCACTGGTGTGACCTGTGGTGAGGTGGTCATGCTTGGTGACCACTGGTGTGACCTGTGGTAGGTGGTCATGCTTGGTGACCACTGGTGTGACCTGTGGTGAGGTGGTCATGCTGGTGACCACTGGTGTGACCTGTGGTGAGGTGGTCATGCTTGGTGACCACTGGTGTGACCTGTGGTGAGGTGGTCATGCTTGGTGACCACTGGTGTGACCTGTGGTGAGGTGGTCATGCTTGGTGACCACTGGTGTGACCTGTGGTGAGGTGGTCATGCGTGATGGTGGACCTGTGGTTGATGGCGTGTGGTGAGGTGGTCATGCTTGGTGACCTGTGGTGAGGTGTGGTCATGCTTGGTGACCATGGTCTTTGCCCTCAGGGGCACCCTCTCAAGTCACCCCTCAAGGGAAAAAGGGTTTCTTTGATGCTAGTGAAAGGCCTTTGGTCCAGGGAATTGGAATTACCCTTCCCTTATCTAATTTATGTAACTATTTATGTGTACCTGTACCTGAATAAACTTATATACTTACTAACCTTGTTACATCCCATTCCTACAGGTGGTGGAGGAGTGGCTCCAGGGGTTATAACTCAGCTCCTGGCCCTGCCTCTCAACTTGCTGCTTGGCTTGCCTGATTCATGCCCTTCTTGCTTCATGGGTCTTATCATACCTGTATGGAGCTTGCCTCCACCACTTCTTCACCAAGCTCATTCCCCTTTCTTAACCACCCTGAGACTGAAGAAATACTACTTGACATCCCTGTGGCTTGTCTGTGTCTTTAACTTGCAGCTGTGTCCTCAGGTTCTCATTTCTCACTTCTCAGGCAACTTGTTCCTGTCTACCCTGTCAAGTTCCTGAGTATTTTGTTATCATATCTCCCTTGGTTCTTCTATCCTCCAATGATGTATTCAGTTCCATTAGCTTCTCATAGTTCATGCCCCATGACTCAGGAATAAGCCTTGTTGCATACTTCTACACGTTATCCAGTTTCTTTGCATGCTTCCTTAAGTATACATTCTATACTGGTTCCGTGTACCCCTAGAGGAGCCTGGCATATGTTGTATAAAAGTGCCCAGAAATACCTTTTGAGATTCTTGAAAGACCAATCTTAGATTTGTCAGGCATGTATATGCATTTAGTGCTTTCCCAAGAATATAAGAAAACCTGTCAGTCTCTGTCTTATTAACCACAGTACCCTGACACCAAGATCTAGACCCATGTAATTTTATTAAAAAGACAACTTATACCAACAAATAAAATTTTAATATACACTGGAACCCCGGTGTTTGAACTTTATTGGTTCCTAGGTGGTGCTTGAACTGCGAAGAATCAAATGTCCGAATCAGTATTTCCCATTGAAGTACATGTAAATGTAATTGGTTCTGGGTCACAAAAAGTTACCCCCAAAAACAGTCCACAATATAATGTAACCATTTTTTATGCTATAAAAACACTTGTGTAATTAATATAATGCCTGTTAATAAAATAAATGAACTGAGAAACTAGAACTTTACCTTTATTGACTTGAGTTGACTGGCACAGGTGGAAGTTGCAAAGGAAGGAGGCTGCTGTTTGGAGGGAGAGTCACCTTCCATAAAAACATCCTGTAACTCCACCTCTGAAGTAATGTGGTCTCGTTTCTGTCTGCACTAACACTGGAGGATTGTGGGGACTCAGAACTGGAAGGTGCATTCGTTTTTTGTTTTTTGTTTTGTTTTAAAAGGACTCTGTCCAATGTGGTCTGTGATATGGTCTGTGTCTGCCCACCCTTCATAATCTTCCTAAAGTGTCCAACCATTTATCACTGAAGGAATTGATTGATGTGGCTCACCAGAGCAATATCAGGGTGCCATTTCTCCACTATGATCTGCATTTTTGACCAGTTGCAGAGCAATGTTCTTGCCTCACACTGAGTGTCTGTAGTTCAGTCCCTGCCATGGCTGAAAACGTTACCTTTACCTTTGATATACCTTTGATGTGTTCCGTTGGGCATGTTCCTTACCCCTGCTGTCCCTGTTCACCTAGCAGTAAATAGGTACCTGGGTGTTAGTTGACTGGTGTGAGTTGCATCCTGGGGGACAAGATTGAACGACCTCAGTGGGGTGCACTGACTTTCTTGGGTTATACTATGTGGCTAACCCTTCCCCAGGTTAAAAATCTGAACAAATCTTATCACCCAATGTAAATAAGCCATTTGCAAATTTATTGGGTTATCCTAGATTATAGCTATATAATTTATCACTGATGTGTGCTTACAGTATTTACAGGCCTTTACAAACATTGTAAAAATTTATACTACTGTTTGTAAAAATATCTTGGCTATAACTTTCCCAAATAAAGCTTATTTTGTGGGGCTCGACTCAAGTGGTAGTACCTTTTGCTCACAGCTGAAGGATGTGAAATAGACTAATAACATTAATAATTTTAAAGTTTTGTAATAATGTACTAATAACTCAGGTCAATCTTATTTCCATACTGTATCACATTTCTTGATTTTTGTCAAGTTATGTTTTTTTTAGGGGTCAAGGACCTCGATGGAAATGACTTACTGTTTGATTTTTTGGGGGGGATTATCTTAGATAATTTATGTACATTACTGTGTAAGTTAGTTGTAAATGTGTAACAACCTGAATGCACTTACCTGTCTGTTTTGCAGGAGTATGTGAAGTGGTGGTGCAGGTGGAGCCAGCAGCAGCACCAGTGGTGGAGTTTCCATGCCTTGCTGACACTGACTCTCCACCATATAACCAGGAAGAGCCACCACCTCACTCTCTTGACATAGCCTCAGGTTTGTAGCTCCACCACTTGTGATGGACGACTCACTCAGATTTGGCATTTTATTTTTGTACAGTAGTAATAATAATAATAATAAATGTTAAAATTTACGACCGTCTATGTAATGAATGTTTTATATTTTTTCTTTCAACACACCGGCCATATCCCACCGAGGCGGGGTGGCCCAAAAGGAAAAACGAAAGTTTCTCCTTTTACATTTAGTAATATATACAGGAGAAGGGGTTACTAGCCCCTTGCTCCCGGCATTTTAGTCGCCTCTTACGACACACTTGGCTTACGGAGGAAGAATTCTGTTCCACTTCCCCATGGAGATAAGAGGAAATAAACAAGAACAAGAACTAGAAAGAAAATAGAAGAAAACCCAGAGGGGTATGTAAGTATATATATGCTTGTACATGTATGTGTAGTGTGACCTAAGTGTAAGTAGAAGTAGCAAAATGTACCTGAAATCTTGCATGTTTATGAGACAGAAAAAAGGACACCAACAATCCTACCATCATGTAAAACAATTACAGGCTTCCGTTTTACACTCACTTGGCAGGACGGTAGTACCTCCCTGGGTGGTTGCTGTCTACCAACCTACTACCTAGGTGTTTTATATTTATTTTTATGAATTCTTTTTGAATAGGTAGCTTTATATGTTAAGTAGCTCTTTGTGTTGTATCATCAGTGTCAAGAGTTGGATATAAGTGTAACTTTAAGGTTGGTTTATATAAAAGGAGTCCAACCTTCACATCTGTCAACTGATGGATGGATAATTATTTATAATGTATCATACTGATGGGCATTACTTGATTTTGCAAATTGCTGCGCTTATGAAACGGTATCAGCAGTGTGCCAACAAACGCTGGAAAAGAACATACTTGGCAAAAATAGACCTTTAATGAATACTGTACAATGTTTCACATACAAGAGGTTTTATCAAGTTTTTGATAAGACCTCATGAAGGTGAAACATATTTAAGATTAGGTCTAATTTTTCTCTACATTTTTTTTTTCTGTGAGCCCCGGGTACTTTCCACTGACAAAAGTGACTTACCCAGCCTCATATAATGTACTGGTATGTATCAAGGCTTTTGTTGACTTTCATATCCTTTCCAGCATTGAGAGAGAGATTGCTCACCATGTAATGACATATTGTATACTAAATCATAGAGTTTATTGCATAGCTTATCAGCACATGTTTAAGATTAATTGGGTTCATTATGATAGACATGTAAATCACAGGGTAAATTGTAATTTTTACTTAATTTTCAATGTTTATTGCAGTATATCTAAATTGTGTATATAGTATTATATTAGGTATGCAGTAGAATACTTTAGTGCTATTTTTTAATGTTATTCTGATTTAACAGACACTCCTTATTAGTCCATTACAAACCTTGTGTATGTTTTATTCTAGCAAGTTGATTCCAATATTTGTTTGTGTTTTCAGATATGGATTTTGTGGGCCATCGACAGAGGTCTTACACTGCCCAGAGGTTAGAGATAATGCAGAAAGAAAAGAAGAATGCTTCTAAAGTCAAAAGAGTTATTTGGAGACATAATCCAGCTCCTATTGATGGTACATACTTTCAAGTCTTTTAAAAGATGATAATTTTATCTTAATTGGTGGTAATGTATTTATGATTACTTTGATTTTGGCTCTGAATAAAGTTACTCTTATAAATACACTTACAGCAAGAAGGATTATTTGAAATCAGTGTCAGCTCGGTACTGTTTATTTTTTAATCTTTATAAGTACAGTGGTCCCTCGCTTTTCATAGTTCTCGGCAATCGTAAATTTCGCCAATCATAGGGGTATTTTCGTATAAACATGGACTCGCTTTTCATAGGTTGACTCGCGAATAGTAGTTCGTCCGGGATGCGTACGCACAAGGTATACAGGTTTAGCTGACATCAGTGACATTACTAAATAGAAAGCCCCTTTTTATGCAGAGCATTTTAGGCAAATTAGGTTAATTTTGTTCCCAGGATGCGACCCACACCAGTCCAGGTTTTTAACCCCTTGAGGGTCACTGCTGTAGTTCTACAGTTTTGAACTCAGCATTGCCATAGAACTACGTCGTGAGCTCAGCTAACACGCACAAGCTGTGAGGGGTAAATTTTTGGCCTAGGTATGAGTGAATGGGTCTGTGTGGTGAGCATGCACCATGTAAAAAAAGTCCTGCCCCATCATTGCATGATGGGGAAAAAACTGGGACCAGGTTTTTGGTGTAACCCTTTGAGGGTTTCGGCCGTACAAGTACGGCTTACGACCCAGGGTTTTTGACGTACTAGTACGCTTAGATTCTAGCGCCCTCAAATCTAGTGGGAGAAAGCTGGTAGGCATACATATGAAAGAATGGGTCTATGTGGTCAGTGTGTGCGGTATAAAAAAAATCCTGCAGCACACAGTGCATAATGAGAAAAAAAAAACTGACTGTTTTTGGAATAAAACAGCAACTTTGCACTGTATTTTTGTATGGTATTTATTGTTGTATTCTAGTTTTCTTGGTCTCATTTTATAGAATGGAAGACATATTACAGAAATTGAGATGATTTTGACTGGTTTTACAATGAAAAATACCTTGAAATTGAGCTCAAAATAGCAGAAATGATTTGATTTTTACCAAAGTTCAAAAGTAGACAAATCATGCCAGGCATCCAATACCCGTCAACTGGTGAGTCTAATATTCTTTCACAAGTGCGCTGGTATTTATACCATTTCTACACTAATGCAGCAGTCTGCACAACAGTAAATCTTCTATTTTTTTTTTTTGTAAGAATAAAAATTGAAAGTGGAAAGCCAAAGAAATATAAGAGGGGCCTGGGGATGTGACTAACGAACAGAGGAAATGTTATTTTAGTGCCAGGAATGTCTTTCTTGTTTATTCTGGACCCTATTTGGAAATTGGCATCTTTTGAAATTTGTGTGAAATTGGCAAAATTACTTAGCCCTTGTGGCTTAGCGCTTCTTTTTGATTATAATAATAATAATGGCAAAATTACTAAATTCTGACCACTGTATTGGATAGTTGAAATCAGTAAATAGGTGGTTTCTTGTACTCATTCAATAGAAAAAATGGAGTTCTAGAGAAATAGTTATGATTTTTGTTGACTAGTACACTGGAATTGGCCGAAAATAGGGCTCAAAGTGGGCAAAGTCGCCAGTGCGTAAGCATCGTCAAGACTGCTAACTTCGCGAGAGCATAATTCCGTAAGTTTTCCATCAAATTGCATACTTTTGGTGTCATTATGATCGGGAAAAGATTCTCTATCTTTTCAAAAGAAGAAAAAATAATTTTTTTTTTTAAATTTGCCGACCTTGAGAACAAGTCTCGGAGAGGGCCTGTCAACCCTCAAAGGGTTAAAATAGTGAATTTGTGGTGTATTTTCTTGTGGTTTTTATGGTTTTATTCTCAGTTTTTTGGTATCATTTCATAGAATGGAGTAGAGATGATTTTGATTGGTTTCAGGTCTGGAAGTAGCTTAAAATTGATTTCAAAGTAGCGGAAATATTAAATTTTTGCTGATATTCCAGAGTAAACAAATCACGTCGCGTGTCCAATACACATCCAACTATTAATCGGTCTAGTATGCATTTACAAATTCGCTGACATTATTTATACAATTATTACAATAATGTATAACAGTAAATCTTCTATTTTTGTGTGAATAAGTTCTGTGTTGAGGTGGTTTGGTCATTTTAGAGAGAATGGATCAAAGTAGAATGACATGGAGAGCATATAAATCTGTAAGGGAAGGAAGGCAGGGTAGGGGTCGTCCTCGAAAAGGTTGGAGGGAGGGGGTAAAGGAGGTGTTATGGGCGAGGGGTTTGGACTTCCAGCAAGCGTGCGTGAGCGTGTTAGATAGGAGTGAATGGAGACAAATGGTATTTGGGACCTGACGAGCTGTTGGAGTGTGAACAGGGTAATATTTAGTGAAGGGATTCAGGGAAACCGGTCATTTTATATAACCGGACTTGAGTCCTGGAAATGGGAAGTACAATGCCTGCACTCTAAAGGAGGGGTTTGAGATATTGGCAGTTTGGAGGGATATAATGTGTACTTTTATGCGTATATACTTCTAAACTGTTGTATTCTGGGCACCTCTGCAAAAGCAGTGATTGTGTGTGGGTGAGGTGAAAGTGTTGAATGATGATGAAAGTACAGTGGACCCCCGCATAACGATTACCTCCGAATGCGACCAATTATGTAAGTGTATTTAAGTAAGTGCGTTTGTATGTGTATGTTTGGGGGTCTGAAATGGACTAATCTACTTCACAATATTTCTTATGGGAACAAATTCGGTCAGTACTGGCACCTGAACATACTTCTGGAGTGAAAAAATATCGTTAACCGGGGGTCCACTGTATTTTCTTTTTGGGGATTTTCTTTCTTTTTGGGTCACCCTGCCTCGGTGGGAGACGGCCGACTTGTTGAAAAAAAAAAAAAAAGTTCTGTGTGAATAAAAAATCGAAATGGAAATCAGGTGTAACATAAGAGGCCTGGGAACATATTTGATTAACAGAGGAAATGTTGTTTTAGTTAGAAGAATGCCTGCATTGTTTATTCTGGACCCTGTATTGAAACTGGTATACAGCCTCTCCTCACTTAACGACGGAGTTCCGTTCCTAAGACCATGTCGGTGAACAAATTCATCGCTGGGTTTGTATCAACCATCTTTGATATTGTTTTAATGTCACCTTTGCACCATTTATAACATTTTTAGTATATTTTTAAATGTTTATGCAGTAGTATACTGTACATATTGTAATAAACAGAATAGAGGAAATCAGCTCTAATATACATTATTTAGGTATGCATACTAGTCAGAGAGCCCGTTTTATGTCTGAGTCATCGGTAAACGAGTATGTCGCTAACTGAGGAGAGGCTGTACTATTTCAAAATTTCTTCTTTCATCAAACTGGCTTTATCTAACCGAGGCAAGGTGCCCCCAAAAAGAAAAACGAAAGTTTCTCTTTTTAACTTTAGTAATAGATATAGGAGAAGGGGTTACTAGCCCCCCACTTCCGGCATTTTAGTCACCTCTTACAACACTCATGGCTTACGGAAGAATTCTGTTTCACTTTCCCATGGAGATGAGAGGAAATAAACAAGAACAAGAACTAGTAAGAAAATAGACGAAAACCCAGAGGGGGTTGTGTATATGTATGCTTGTACATGTACATGCATGTGTAGTGTGACCTAAGTAGAAGTAGAAAGACATACCTGAAATCTTGCATGTTTAAGAGACAGAAAAAAGACACCAGCAGTCATGCCATCATGTAAACAATTACGCCTTACGCTCACTTAGCAGAATGGTAGTACAGTATCTCCCTGGGTGGTTGCTGTCTAGGATTTTGAAATTTGTGTTCGGTAATTGGATACTTTGCTTGTGTTTTGTATCTCAGAGGTATGTATACAATATACAGTACAGTGGACCCCTGACTTACGATATTAATCCGTTCCTGGGAGCACATCGTAAGACAAGATTATCGCAAGTCGAATTAATTTTCCTCATAAGAAATAATGGAAATCAAATTAATCCGTTCAAGACACTGAAAAGTATGAAAAAAAAAATTTACCACATGAAATATACATTTTCCTATACACAAAAAGAAGGATATATGCACAATATATATTGTGCATGTACTAGTGTACTAAATGAAAAGTAAATGACACTTAACTTTATTGAAGATGTAGTGATGAGACACTGTGTCCTGGGAGTGCCTTTTCCTCCTGAGTAATGTAGGTCCTGTTTGGCATTTTCTTCCAGAACAGGTCTTATCACACTGTGTATGCACTATGATTCTTAAATCTCTCAAACCAACCTTTGCTGGCCTTAAATTCACCAATACAGGCACTAGTTCCAGGCATTTTTTCCTGTTCACCAGGATGTTAGTCGACTGGTGTGGGTCGCGTCCTGGGGGACAAGATTAAAGACCCCAATGGAAATTAGTTAGACAGTCCTCGGTGACACACTGACTTTCTTGGGTTATCCTGGGTGGCTAACCCTGTGGGGTTAATTGTTTCTCGGTATTCTCGATAAGCCACACTAATAACAGTCCACATCTTCGAGTAGTACAGTTGACCTTGGTGCAGCAGCAGCCTGACCGTGGTACAAATGATGTAAGTTGAGTTTTTCATCATATGTCAGGGTCAAATTTTTATGCTGACAAGCATCGTAAGTCAGTTTTAACGTAGGTTGAGGACATCGTAATTCGGGGGTCTACTGTGTGTAGAAAAATACTGTACGTGTATTATATGTTTTATTTCAATTTATTTTCATTTTAGTGTGTTTTTCAATTCATTCCCAGAAGCTGAGCTGAATGAGCTGTTCTCCCGTAAAGCTGTGATAACTCCTGACAGTGCCCTCAGCTCTTCCCCTCGGCCAACACCAGTCTCTCTCCTCTCCCGTCTTGTGCAACAATATCCTGATGGTCTTAATAACCCATTCATTGAATATGCAAAGTTTGATGGCACGGTTAGTTGCTATTCTTGTTTATGTTGATTAACTTTAATTTTAAGAAAATTCATATAAGTATTATATTAAAAGATGTGTTTGTGTGTTATAAACACTGGAAAGTTAAAGTTCTTTAAGATTTGAGGTGTTGTCAAATTGTGCGTATGATAATAGGTTTGCTGGGATTCAAGGGGAACTAACTATCTGGATTGAAATTTGCATGTGGGAACTTGAGTGCATACATTGAAACTTAGGTAGGATGTTACCATATAAAATAAAATTCCCATCGTGAAGTAGGTTAGACTTCTTCCATCATAATCAAGGGTGTTGTAAAAATGTAACTGAAATGCTGTAATTACTAATAAAAAAACAAACAAGAAAAGAATTTTTTTTTTTTCCCGTCATTGATTTTTTTTTTTTTTTTTGGGGGGGGGGGGGAATTGACAATTAAAGTAAAATGTATAAACTATAAAAAAAAAATCTTACTCTATAAATAAAAATACATACATTAAATTATAATGTTCATCATTTTGTTTAATTGCCAATTAAATCAAAATACCAAATATAAAAGCTTTATTATTTTATAGATAATATAATTAATTATAATGTTCATACTTTGCAGACTCACACAAACGTTCAGGCCCGTCGCATCAGGATTTTTTTGCTGCTTGGGGACAATCCTGTACCCAGTTACCCTATGGTTGTGTCTGTTGTTAATTGCCATCAAGCACGGGTAATTGATCTCATTGGCCTCATTTGCTGGCTGTATACCAAAGAAAATAGACAACCACCTCTGAGGTAAAGGAAGCCATACAAAAGAACAATGGTTTTAATTCTCAGTTTTTTCTTAAATATTTTGACAGCCCAACAAAGTGGCATTTGAAGAGTATTTGGTAAATTTTAAGCAAAACTTAAATTTTACATTTAGGCTAAAACAATGAAAATAAGTACAGGCATACCTCACTAATACAACAGGTAGGTTCCAGATCGCCATCAAAAGTGAATCTCTCGCTTTTTTTCACTTGCTGTGCATATGAAGGCCTAAAAACATGTTAGTACTATCATTTATTAAGTGCGCAGTAACATTAGACCTAAAAAAAAAAAGAGATGCAAAAGTTTTGTTTTTTGAAAATTGCTGAAAACCATCCTAAGAGCAATGGATACGCCGAAAATAATAAACATAAATATAATTGAAAGCGCCGTATGAGTGAAGCGCTCTAAAGCAGGTCCCTGTATTAACGAAGTATGCCTGTATATGAGGTGTTGCATGGCAAAAAAGAAGCAGTACCACAGCCAAAATCTGCATTAGTAAACAAAGTGATTCCTTAATGTTTCACCTGTGGGAATGTGTAGGTATTGTCTTATGCATCTGCAAGTTAGGCCCAGAGTCCTGTAATGAAGTGTGGTAACTTGAGCTTCATACCTGTGGTCTCCCCATGCCTGTTCTTTTCTCTATGGTTTGAATTTAATGCTTATCTTTTCTGCCACACAACACCTCACGTATTACAGAGTCGCTAAACAACCTTGTATGACAGTGTATACAAATACCATCTGACTTACGACCTGCTCGACATACGACCACTCATACTTATGACTGTAAATCTGGCAGCAGGGTTGGGCGGGCCTATGCATATCGCCATACGACAGTTGACCACTACTCGCAGCAGTGTACCATCTCAGAGTTCTCCCATTGCTTTGAGTTACCCTGCCTTATCAGCAGCATCATACTGTATTAACTGTACTGTACTGTATATATGTACCTGGACAGTAAATTTCACCATGGCCCCTAAGAGGAAATCTGAATCTTGCACTAAAGCTTGTGACAAGAAGGCAAGAAGCAAAGGTTTGACATTATGCTCTACCCAGTATGTTGGCAATTTTCTAAGGTTTGGCTTGCATCCATTTTGACGTATGACCGGTTAATCAAAACCATGTTGGGTCGTAAGTCGGATGGTACTTGTATTTAGTCTTGTAGTGAAATGCAGGGGAATGCTAGATCTTGACAATAATGTGAAATTTATATCGACTTCGGAAAAGAACATCTTTATTTAATTAAGCACAAAATTGCAATTCGGCTATTTTGGTCGTCTCAAAATTACATTCACCTGGAATAGTAATGATATGCATACTGTATATCGATAAGGTTGAGAGGATAGCTTCACATATATTGCTAAAACAGAATAAAGAATTTGCTTCCATGAAGACTTCTACTAGTATATATTTATTTTAAGTAATCATTGATGTTCTTTCAATGGTATGCTTATACATGTAATATTACAGGGGTGGTGTCGAACGATATGCCCTACACATTGCAGAGGAAGATGGCCAGGTTGATTGGGACTTCCAGGCTTTACGTAACCGGGATGTTATTGAAAAGTTTGGGTTCAATGTACTAGCTCTAGTCGAGAAGAAGGATGTCCGTGGACCATCACAGGATATTGTAGTCACTTTGTACGTTGAAATTATCTTTGGTTATACAGGTGCTCCTTGTCTTACAATGGGGTTACTTTCTGAAGAACCCATCATAAGTCAAATATATGATAAACAATTACTGCCACTGAATAAGTAAATAAACAAATACATAATTACTGTAACTAAATACCAGACTAAACACCAGAAGCAGGAGAAACATTTGGGCATTTAGTAGACATAATGGGCTGAAAATTTGGTTAAACACAGAAAATAAGTTTGATTATTGAATGTGCCCCCTCAAGGGAGGTTCCTTGATGCTGGTGAAGGGCTCTTGATCTAGGGAATTGGATCTGTGCTTCAGTTCCCTGAATTGAGCCTGAATACCTTCCATCCCCTTCCCCCCTCCTGCAGGCACTGTATAATGCCTACAGGTTTAGCACTCCCCCATGATTATAATAATACTGAATGTGCATCACTATTGCACCATCGCAAAATCAAAATATCGTGTCAAACCATCATAAAGCAAGGAGCACTTCTATTTAATGTTTGTGTATACAGATATGTTGTGTATCTTTATACGTATATGCTTCTAAACTGTTGTGTTCTGAGCACCTCTGCACCTCTGTGAGTGAGGTGAAAGTGTTGAATGATGATGAAAGTATTTTCTTTTTGGGGATTTTCTTTCTTTTTGGGTCACCCTGCCTCAGTGGGAGACGGCCGACTTGTTGAAAAAAAAAAAAAAGTATACAGATTGTTCAACAATGTAATCATGTTGAGTTTTGTGTGACTACCATACATACTACAGTACTGTAATATGATATATCAGATTAGGGAAGAGGATGTGTGGATCAAGGGTGAATATTAACCCTTAAACTGTCCAAACATAGACTATGTTTGTACCGCTAGTGCTCCAAACGTAGATCTATGTTTTATTTTTCCTGCCTCCAAATTTGGCATGATTGGCCTGAAATGCCTGGTCAGTATAGAATGGGTCTTAACACTCGGTGTGTGTAGTATTAAAAAAATCTAGGATCACTTAGTACCTTGTGGGAGCACCAGTTCAATTGAGCACCAGCTAGAGCAAATAGCATGGCATACACCAGGGATTCACTGATGTAATGTATTAACAGTCCTCTTTCAAATGGAAAGTGATGGATGTGGCCACAAGTGGTCGAGGAATTATCAAAAACCTTGATAATAACCCATGTGTAACATTTGTGCAACATCCTTTGATTTTTTATACCACTGGCTCTGTGTCTGTCTGTATCTGTTTGTTTATATATCTGTATATGTCTGTCTCTCTCTGTCTATATATCTCTGTATCTCTGTCTCTCTCTCTCTCTCTTTCACATGTACACATAAGTAGTTATTTTTTTTTTAACACCGGTCATCTCCCACTGAGGCAGGGTGACCCAAAAAGAAAAAATCTCCAAAAAGAAAATACTTTCATCATTATTCAACACTTTCACCTTACTCATACGTAATCACTGTCTTTGCAGAGGCACTTAGATACAACAGTTCAGAAGTCCCTCCAAACTGCCAATATCCCAAACCCCTCCTTTATAATGCAGGCATTGTACTTCCCATTTCCAGGACTCGAGTCCAGCTATCCAGTTTCTCTGAATCCCTTCACAAAACATTACCCTACTCACACTCCAAGAGCTCACAGGTACCAAAAACTATTCGTTTCCATTCACTCCTATCTAACATGCTCATACATGCTTACTGGAAGTCCAAGCCCCTCGCCCACAAAACCTCCTTTACCCCCCTCCCTCCAACCTTTTCGAGGACGACCCCTACCCCACCTTCCTGCCCCTACAGATTTATACGTTCTCCAAGTCATTCTACTTTGATCCATTCTCTAAATGGCCAAACCACCTCAACAACCCCACTTCAGCCCTCTGACTAATACTTTTAGTACTCCACACTTCCTCCTAATTTCTACACTCCGAATACCCTGCATAATGGTATTTACACCACACATTGCCCTTAGACAGGATATCTCCACTGCCTCCAGCCGCCTCCTTGCTGCAGCATTTGCAACCCAAGCTTCACACCCATATAAGAGTGTCGGTACAGTCCCCATCCCTTTCTTTGAAACCCTTGGGGCCAGCAGTGTTTCAAAATTCAGAATTTTTTGAATTTCAGAATGGTGGGGGTCTACAGCAGCACCCTATAATCGAACATTAACACTTCAGCAAAAACATATGAATACTCACACTAACTGGGATAAATAAAGACTACAAATACTACCACGGTTTATTTATAGAGTAATATATTAATAAATGAAATAATGGGAAAACTAGACCAGGAATATGATTCTTAAGACGATTGATTGACCGCATTTTTAAAGACTTCAAGTGTCATCTGTCTTGTTAACATAGGTTTCTGTCTAAGCAATAAGAACATAAGAAAGGAGGAACACTGCAGCAGGCCTGTTGGCCCATACTAGGCAGGTCCTTCACAATCCATCCCACTAACAGAATATTTGCCCAACCCAATTTTCAATGCGACCCAAGCAATAAGCTTTGATAATTCTAGTTACTCATGTGCAAGTCCCACTGAAATCCAACCCCTCTCACTCATGTGTTTATCCAACCTAACATGTTCATTCAACCAAGGAAGGAGCTACTTAACATCCCCTTTATTAACCCTTCAACTGGACAAACATAGATCTACGTTCACGTGCGTAGCGCTCCGACCTTGATTTTCCCCATTTGAAAGCGTGTAAAAGAAACGTAGATCGACGTTTGGAGGCCCCCCCGCACATGGACGTAGATATACGTTTGGACAGTTTAAGGGTTAATTCCTGTTTTCCATTTATACACCTCCACGAAAAAAACTTCGGTTTTCGGAACTTTTCAAATTTCAAAATTTCAGATAAAAGGATGGGGACTGTATCACTATATTTTCCTACATTCCCTTCTTTGCCTCCATGGATAACGTTATTATACATAGTTATTATACATGGTGTAAATTACCTAGGATAACCCAAAAATTCAAGGCAAAGTGCTTGTAGGTATAAGACATTATAAGCATGACTGGCAACTCAGTGGCAAGTAATACGCATTTTCACTTCATCAGGAATCAGACGTGACTACTGCATCGTGTGTAATACCTGTTGGTTTATGAGCTGCTCTCTAAGACTGAGAGACACACAGGCAGACAAAAAGACCGAGACTCACAGGCAGACAGAAACACCGACACACACAGGCAGACAGAAACACCGACACAGGCAGACAGAAACACCGACACACACAGGCAGACAGAAACACCGACACACACAGGCAGACAGAAACACCGACACACACAGGCAGACAGAAACACAGACACACACAGGCCGACAGACAGACCAAAACACAGCAGGCAGGCAGACAGACAGACGACAGACACACAGGCAGCAGGACAGACAGACAGACAGACACAGGCAGGCAGGCAGCAGACAAGCAGGCAGACAGACACAGGCAAGCAGGCAGGCAGACAGACACACACAGGCAGGCAGGCAGACAGACACAGGCAGGCAGCAGGCAGACACACAGCAGGCAGGCAGACCACAGCAGCAGCAGACCACAGGCAGGGCAGACACACAGGAAGGCAGGCAGGAGCACACAGCAGCAGGCGGCAGACACACAGGCAGGCAGGCAGGCAGGCAGACAGAAAGAACACAACACAGACACACCACACACACACACACACACACACACACACACACACAACACACACACACACACACACACACACACACACACACACACACACACACACAGACACACACACACAGACACACACACACACAGACAACACACACACACAGACACACCACAGACACACACACGGACAAAGCTTCTACAACACGACACTATCACACAGACAGACACAGACACACACACACACACGACAGCAGACACACAACACAGACTAGACACACACAGTATCGACCACAACACGTTAACACACACACACACAGACACAACAGACACACCACCACACTAGACACACACACACACAGACACACTCACTATTGACCACACACAGCACACACGAACATCACACACACAGACACACAGCACTACACACACACACACACACAGACACAGTACAGAACCACACTACTGACACAGTAGAAACACACATCACAGACACACACACACACACCTTCACACACACACACACACAACACATCACACAGACACAGCATTTGACACACACAGACAGACACACACAGATCACACACGACAACAAGACACACACACAACATCATCACACACACACACACACCACACAATCACCACCACACACACTGGTGTTTGTTCTGTATGTCTGTTGACTACACACACACACACACAACACTCGAAAGACAGTAAGCAGAGCTAACAGATACAGTACAGATAGACAGACATGTATTATAACGTCAAAGAAGGACCCTGTCATACAGTGTTATGACGTACGTATAAAAGTTACTTATAATTCATTATGATTTAAACCTAAATAAAAATGAATCTATTCAGAGACAGTAATTCTCACTGCCCGGGATCCTATCCATCTTACTAAACGTGTGGGGGGGCTAGCATACCGTAAATAAAAGGGGAAGCAGCTGTGTGGTCTGAAAATTTTTAAAGCAAAATAAACGTTGTTGTTTATAGGAAAAAGAGGGAATCCTAGTCTCGTTACAGCTTAATACACACCCACCAAACTTCCCCCCACACAAATCAGAAACAGCAACACACACAACACCACACACAAACAAACCCAAAACGACACACACAACACACACAACACACTCAAAAGCCCACCTACACACACACGTCAAAACAGCCACACACACACACACACACACACACACACACACACACACACACACACACACACACACACACACACACACACACAATTGGAAGTTGAAAACACAAATGAGTCAGAGAGATAGTAGGAAGTATTTCTTCAGTCATAGAGTTGTAAGGCAGTGGAATAGCCTAGAAAATGACGTAGTGGAGGCAGGAACCATACACAGTTTTAAGACGAGGTTTGATAAAGCTCAT